GCTACCCCCCACCCTCCCCCATCCCCGGGTAAAACCGTATAGCTTATGTCTTTTTTTTTCCCTCTGACAGGTTATAGCAATCGGTGCTAAGAAATTGGAGCAGTCAGATATTGCGGAAGTGTTACTCACTGTTACAGAAGCAGCAATTGAGTACTTCGTCCCACCCAAAGAGAAGTGTATAGAAGAGGGAGCTGCTGAATCTCCGGTTTGTCAAAGCAAAGTCGACCGAATCCGGGAGATCGTTAATGTGATCAAGAGTGAGGGGGAAAAGGCAAGGAAATGAATACTTGTTTGATAAGGCGCAATGCAGACAGAACTCGACTCGTTTCTAAGCTGTGCTCTCCGCCGTTTGTCTTATTACCTGGAATCTTGTTTGCATCCCATAGGTAATAATGCGGGCAGCCTCGGTTCCAGGTCGAGTCACTGTGGCTGCGATTGATAGCGCCAAAGCTGTGGCCACGTGGTCATGGGGCATCCCTCAAATCTTGCTGCAGAAGGTTACGGTAAAGGAACAAATCTCTTCCGTATAAATACATTCATAATTTCAATCGAGTGATGAGGAAATTAAAAATTTCAGGTTAAATTCTTCGCTTTCGAGAATGGACCGAGTAAATTCAACGGCTTGCCAACACAAAATTAAATGTGGTGATTGTGATTTTCGTTTAGTTATTAGTCATTTGTCGATTTTAAAAATAAATTCTCTCGTACGATATCCCATCCTTGCCAATGATAGGTAATGGAAAGAATGGTCAGAGCCCTCTGGGACGTCTGGAATGCTACAAAACGGAAAACGTTTTTTTTCTTGCCATCATTCCTCGGAGGAGGGGAAGGGAAGGTTTGTCTTTCATTATTGTTGTTCTCCTTCAGGAGAAAAATTATTGTTAAAGCCCTAACAGTACCTTGCAGAACGCCTTTAAATCTCTTAGCCCGAAGACCAATTGCTATAGTTGTCCAAGGCTTTTGAGCCAAATGTGTTTATCCACCATATCAGAGATATTCAGTTGGAATAAAATTAATTAAACGTATCATATTTATGCATCAGAATTGGAAGTAACGGTAAGATACCAATCTATTGATTGCACCACATGGATCAAAATGATTCATTGAAGTTTAAGTGGTTCCTTTTTAACTCGTTCAATTTAGGAGGAAGAGAATCTCGATCGATTTCTCATCGTGGTAAAGCATTTTTGAATTGCGCAAAAATCTTTTCTTTCTCTTGCCCGACAGGAGCGGCTTGGACGAAGGAAAAACCCAACAAGATCCACTCGCTACAAACCTAAAGCAGAATATTCGCGAATCATCGATGCTTCACAACCCTTTCCGGTTTCACCCGAGCGGAAGCGAAGGTACGACAGAGAAGACGAGGACAATACCTCGATAGTGGAGCTTATACACGTCAGTGAGGATTACATTTCCGATGAAGATCCCGACTACGTTCCGGATAAAGCCGACCTTGAGTCATCGGAAGACGAAGAGGATGACGACGAAGATGATGACGAGGATGAGGACAAAAAAAACGAAGAAGGTGACAGTGATGAAACAGAGACGGTCGAAAACACTGAATCTAAGAAAAGTCCCCCCGAAAACGAAGAGAAAACAAACCCAAAAGAGTCAAAAGAGACCGGGAAAGAAGGGGAAAAAGAGCGAAACGGCGAGGTCAAGAAGACGCATAAGAAAAACATTTCTGTCCAAGATAAGAAGAAAACAGAAAGCAAGGTTGGTGAACCTAACAATAGCCACAAAAACGATGGAAAGGAGGTTGATGACAAGGAACGTGATTTACAAGAGAAAGATGCAAAGATGGCGGCTAAAAGAGGCGAAAAATCAGGAAGTCCTCGTAAAGTTGAAGGCAGAATCGTTATGTAAGACTGATTACATCTTTGTAACATTCCTTACAACTGACTCCTACGATGTTTCTATTTCTAGTTACAAGGAATGCTTTTTGGAGACGTGTAATTCTTGTATTTATCATTTTTGTCCGCGAAAATAGCATAATACTACTGGGATGTAACGTCACGATCCTCAAAGGAGCTTTCTCGAAATGATTATCTCGTCAGAAGCAAGTCATGATCTCCATTTTAAGTGTAAGATAAATGACAGTTGCAGCCAAGAAAGAACAGCCTTTGAGAAGTGTGTGTTTCCATTTAAGGAAAATGAAAAGTATTATATTTGTGTGTTACTGAATTAAAACTAAGTAATAAATAAATTTAAAAAAATTAACATAAATATGATGGCTCGTTTTGTTTAGTGTGGACTAATTCTAATTTCGACCCGGAAATAGGCCTTTATAGATTATGCTAGCATAATTCGCATATTTTCATAATTATCGGATCATTTTTGATGCTACAATTCGATCATTGTTCATCTCTACTCCCAAGCACTTGGTGACGTTATTCGATGTGTTAAGTTTTAGTTCAAGTAGTAGCATTTGTAGTTCACTGTGAATCACTGAGCGGCGTCTGAAACGGTCTGAGTCCTGGGTCTGGAGTGCACCGTAACCGGAAGTCACATTGTACGTCATGTTGGTGTGCATGTTAACATGAACCACATTTTTTTTTAATTTAATTGTGGATTTGTTGCGTTTTTTTTCCTGTAGACCAACGGCTTCTAATTAAAAAATGTATTTTTTGGACTTATTTGCTCTTTTTTCAAAGAGCATGTTTTAAAAGCAGGGGCATAATTTGGAAAAAGAGCATAATTTTTTAGCATAATTTCGCTAAAAAATGCAATCGTACTAGCATAATATGCTACTTTTACTAGCATAATCTATAAAAGCCTACCTGGAAACAGTGGACGAGAAGAGTAACATTATTCATTTCCAGGGTCTTTCTTTGAAACTTGAGAACGAGGCTGCAAAATTCCATATATTCATTCATTTCCGTTTGTTTATTACTACCCTGAGAGCAGAGCCTTTTTAACCCGTCCTCGAATCGAAAAGGGAAAAAGGCTCTGCCGACATCCTGTTGTTGCTCGTTTGAACATGCGCGGCGGTTGCCTAGAAACTGATCCTTTTCCAGGCCCCCTTGAACTGTTGTGGGCGCAGATTTGGTCATCTGTGTACAGGACAACAAAGGATTGCGCACCAAAACCGGTTTGACTGGAAGCAAAACCGGCTTGACTAGCCCGGAGTTTTGGGCTTTCGACATTTCAAAGCAACAACAGGATGTCGGCAGAGCCTTTTCCCTTGGAGGGTTAAAAAGAAGAAAAGAAGAAGAAAAGGCTCTGCTCGCAGGGTAGTTTATTATCGGCGCAAAACAGAGAATGTTAATATAGGCACAAAGTGTAACCAAAGAACCGAATTCGAAATGCCCATTCCATTCCAGATGTTTTCTGTTTTGGCGTAGTCTGATGGCTTATGGCACCTTAAAACTTTGCAAAACGATTTTTCAAAGGAGTTCACTTAGTTTTTCTCTCGAAGTCTTTTATGAGATAAAAATGCAAATGTGTTAATGCAAACAAATGGATCGATGTATATGAGAACGATCCTTCGCAGTAAAGGATCGTTCTCATATACATCTCATAACCGCAGTTCACACATATGTTTCATATGTTTGTTGTTGTTAAATGGATCGATGTTAAAAGAATAACCAATTTAACAAAAGTGTCTTATTTACGTCCAAAATTATTTAATCTTGCGTTTGTTAATTCTCTTTACATTACCTCAAGTTACATCGTGCGTGACTTTTGTAACAAATGAAGACAATCTATTCAGACATTTGTAATTTTTAGCCAATGACAGCGATTCCAAGGCTTAAAAGCGTGTGCCACCTGCACATGTATAAAGAAAGTATAGAAAAGAAAAAAAAAATTGCTTACATACGTTCTGTGTTGTAAGAGCTCGAAATGGCATATAAAAAGAATTCAAATCAAGAACCCTGCGACCACATGTTCAAGGTTTTGCTCCTTGGAGATGCTGGTGTTGGAAAGACAAGTTTAATGTGGAGGTTTTCGGACGATATGTTCAATCATACTTACATCTCTACTATTGGAATCGATTTCAAGTTACGTACTATTGACGTGCAAGGAAAAAAAATTCGTCTGCAGATCTGGGATACCGCAGGCCAGGAGCGATTTCATGCCATCAGTGTGTCGTATTATAGGACCGCGGCTGGAATAATGCTTATTTACGATATTAGTCGCAGACGTTCGTTTGAAAACATTGCAAAATGGCTTCGGAAAATTGACGAACATGCGAAAGAAGATGTCATTAAACTATTGATAGGAAACAAATGCGACCTTCAGCCTCCAAGAGCTGTCAAACGCGAAGAAGGGGAACAGCTAGCTGACGAGTACGATATGACTTTCTTCGAAACAAGCGCTAAGGAAAATGAAAACATCGACGAAGCTTTTGAATGTGTCGCAAAGGAAATCCTTTATAAATTTCAACCAGAATGGAGTACAAAAGAACAAGACAAGGTTACAAACGGATCGGTAGTTGACATAAAGAAAAAGAGTCGCTTTGTGAGGAAAAAAGAGAAAAATTGCTGTTAATTTTTTTTTCTCTCAGTCCGGCATAAAACTGAAAAAAAGAAATCATTTTCTTTATTTAGGTTTCTGTAGCTTGTGACAAGGAATAATTCATTTCAGTTTCATTGCAGTGGCGAAAGATCACGCTAACTGTTGTCCCTTCATAGGGAATTATTTACATTCTCTTTCGATGCAGGTACTCAATAAATATTTAAATATCTTTTGTTCAAATTTAGTGCATAATCAGAAGATTAAACTGCAATAAAGAATAACAGCAACTGTTTGTCCTCTTTTCAACTTTTGTTTTCGTGGCAACAACAACCAAAATTGATTTTAGGAAATTCACGAACGGATAATGTCACTTCCAAGGAGGTGTAGGTAGGGTTACTGAAGAACTGTTGGAGAGTGCGTGAATATTTGACTAAATTCAGAGGATTTGCCGTTGAAATCGTGGCACGTAAATCTAACAGCTAGAGTTAGCCGTGTTGTCATTCTGAACAATCATACAGGGTATAGAGGTAGCTACCCTGTATGATACCCGTTACCTTGTGGGTGACTTTAACTTCCCATGCATAGACTGGCATATGAATAAAGGCTGATAGTTTCGAAAGAAACTGTTTGGGGCTGCGTCGGTGGGAGTAACGAAATAATTTGGATATATCGACAAAGTTGAAATGGTAAATTGGCCACCGTAACGACGAAGGGCTAACGCTCGAGTAATTTTAATTGTAATTTATTATTTCCATAAGGTCGTGGTGGTAGCAAGGATGATAAATATTGTAAGAAATAGACAACTTTTTTGTGAGACATGTTTCGGCATGCTTATGCCATCTTCAATCAATGAGTAACAGAACGTGAGTAATTATATAACAGACAAATAGATGAATAAAATATTTACAGTATGATGTAATACAAAGGTAAAGGTAAAGTCTGTTTACGAGCCTAGTGGCCCATTAGGCCGGTGCCGAACTCCGGTTTCTGTAGCATGAAGCGACTAGGAGTATTTCTACTCCCCCCTGGATGGGATGCCAGTTCATCGCAGGGTTACCCCCAGCATTAAATTGCCGGTACCCATTTATACACCTGGGTGAAGAGATGCACTGTGAGAGTAAAGTATCTTGCCTAAGAACACAACACAATGTTCCGGCCGGGACTCGAACCACGAGGCCACCGCGCCTCCACGATGTTTATATAAAAAGTTTCTTTGAGTTTTAAATCAAGTTTAAAATTTTTTTTTCAGGTCTGATTTTCGCTATTGCATAAATAGCGCTCTCTACTGCGAAGATCGTGCATCATACGTATCTATAACCGCAGTTCAAAATATATGAACTTCATATATTCATCGTATCAGTTTTAAAGCAATTGAGTTGTTAGCAGAATCCAGAATACTAAAGCAAGAAAGGGAGTGTTTGTTCTTACAAGAAGGAGATGTGTTGAAATGCTTAAAAATATGCGAGTTTTTATCGCTTTCCGTGTGCTCCATCCTAGTAGAAAAGTGGCGACTAGTTTCGCCAAAAAACATGTTCAGTGTTAAAGATCGTACTCCTGATGCTCTAAAATCCATGGTAGTTTATCAATTTCCTTGTGCGGGATGTAATTCCCGATATATTGGCGAAACTAGTCGCCACTTCTCTACTAGGATAAAGGAGCGTGCACGACCTTTTAATGTACAACGCTTCAAAACCAGTCGTTTTAAGAATAGTTTTATTATTTCCTCATGTCGTAAAGCGAACTCATTTTAGCTTTCCCTTCTTTTAGCCGATTGAACGCTTTTTAATAACTAAATAGTTAATATCTAAATTAGTTTAATTTTATTATCTGTATTATGTGAGTAAATACGCAATTCAGTATTTTAACTGCTACGTATTTATGAATAAATAAACTTCAAACTTCAAACTTCAACTGAACTAGTTCACACCTTTGATGTTTGGTGTCACGTTGTAATTAGTACCCGCTTTTTTACATCATGCTGTAAATATTTTATTCATCTACTTGTCTGTTACATAATTACTCACGTTCTGTTACTCATTGATTGAAGATGGCATAAGCATGCCGAAACACGTCTCTCAAAAAAGTTGTCTATTTCTTACAAAATTTATTATTTTTTTGTATTCTGGTGGAGTTAATCTGTAATAAGTAATAAATAAATGCCCCATTCAAAAGCAATGCCGGCCGCTTCACAAAGAGGCCGCTTCTGCGTGAGTTGCAGACTAGTTTTTTCCTTTTAGTCCCCCACCTCCTTTCTACTGCTAACAAAAAACTCTCCCCGACCCACTCCTCTCATCCTGCTTTGCGGCAAATCAAGCGCTCAGCCATTGATCAGCGGTTGCAATCATAAACAACATGAATCCAAAATGGCAGAGGACGATGGACTTCCACCAAACAAGAGAAACAAGTTTGAGAAAAATGTTTTAATAGGAGTTACCGGAAGCGTAGCGAGTATAAAGTTACCGAAACTTGTAGACGAGCTGCATCGCTTACAACCAAAGGTACTGTTGAGGTACATCTGTTTAATCTCGAAGCAACAAAGTCTTTCGAGATGTGCACTCATGTTCACGATCAAGCTATTGTCGTTATCAACGACAGAGAGTGAAATTATTCACTGCGATGACAATTAGCTATGATACTCTAAGATCCCAATCATTCTATGCCTTCTTTCGGGAAAAATGGAAATATTTCTAGCGCATGTATAACATCTGGGGAATTTTATTGTCACGAGGTCACCTTATCATTACATTTATATTATAATATAATATAAATAGAGTTTTAGTTTCCACTCTCTTGATCCCTCTACAACACACATGCTTGGCCAAGTCTATATGACACCAAATTAATTGAACAGCTGACATCAGTTTGTAGTAAAATGATTATTTTTTTTTTTCATTTATTTTTTCATATGAAAAGCCAAATATCCAAGTTATTGCAACAGAACACTCGATGCACTTTTTTGATAGAGACAAAATTCCTGTTAAAGTTTTTAGTGATAAGGACGAATGGGAGGTAAGATAAACTAATTTTTGTTAGACACAACTTTGTAATGTTGTTTTTATTTGTATCTATTTTATATATTTTGGTACTTGATGCATTAGCTGTTGAAACTACTTGTTGTATCTCACGTGGAAAGATCGTTTTCAATAGGGGTAGCTAACTAAGGGAGGGGGGTTTCTTTATTTGTGAAAATCTTGCAAAGAAAACCCTTGCATGCCCCAAATGGTAGAGTAGAATATATTCTGATGAAGTGTCTATGCTTTATTTAATAATAATAACACCTTTATTTAGACATGATAATGTTTAAAGCTGAACAGCTTGTGAGGTCGTGTGTAAATGCAAATAAACTCTAAATGAAATAAATTCAAATGATGATGGTTTTGAGGAGAGGGGAAAACCGGAGCACCCGGAGAAAAACCTCTCAGAGCAGAGTAGAGAACCAGCAAACTCAATCCACTTTCAACGCTGGGTAGGGGAATCGAACCCGGGACACATTGGTGGAAGGCGAGTACTCTCACCACTACGCCAACCCTGCTCCCCCAATTTATTCCTGTCTCAGTGACTTCCTTTTCAAAAACACTTAATTTTTTGCCTCCAGCCTTTTCACAGTAGTTGAAAATGATACAAAAAATTAATACAATTTGATTGAGTAAGATTATGCGATTTTAGCGATAGTGGTGATATTTTTTTTACTGTTAGGCATGGAGTACAATGCAAGACCCAGTTCTGCATATTGAGGTAACTTACTAATTGTTTTTTCATCTGAAAAAGTTAAAGGAATCCAACTGAGTTTGTTTGGGATAGTTATTAAAATGCTGTAGTTTTCATCTCCAACACACTTTCCTGAAACATGTCGATTACATATTACTTTCCAGTAGCTGCGACGCTGGGCTGATATTATGATTATTGCACCACTTGATGCCAATACTATGGCCAAGTTGGCAAATGGTTTGTGTGACAACCTCTTGGTGAGTTCAAACCTTTCACTTTCATGTCACTTAACAGGCTTAGCCATTGCTGACAACAGATTATTTTCCTTGTTTCCAGACCTGCACAGTCCGTGCATGGGATCTTAAGAAACCTTTGCTCTTCTGCCCAGCAATGAACACGCTAATGTGGGAACACCCAATCACCTCAGAGCAGGTTGAACGGCTTATTAACCTCGGATATACGAATGTTCCACCAATTAAAAAGACCCTGGCCTGTAAGGACACCGGTAAGATTGCTTTGGAATGTTTTGAGTATGCACTTAATGTTGTTCTTTTGTCTAACACAAATTCATTTCTTGAACCAGAGTTATTCTATTGTTTTGTTTTTGTCTCTATGTAGTAGTCAGCAAGTGACTCAATCTATCAGTAACTCAGCAACAATTTTTCTCAAATACTGGTATTAGAAAATCATACACAAAAAATACATTTTGTGTCATTTTATTTGCACATTCTATTTTCATATTTTAGGTATCGGGGCAATGGCTGAGGTTACAAGTATTGTAGCAATAGTAAAAGATCACTTGGAGAAGATGAAATGATACCATAATCTTCCCTTTCTTAGTTTATATAATATCAACCAGAATTCTGTAGGTTCCAGTTCAAACATTACTCTAAGCCATATAAACAAACACTATGCATTACAATTAACTGACTAACATTTTTGGCATTTTTAGCAATTCCTGTTCAACTAAATACATCGCATTTGTTTGAGATTAAAGTAAATTTCTACATTATGTTCTGCAACTAATAGATCAAACCCAATTCCCTCAACCTCTAAGGGTACTGAATTTAACATACTGTAACAGTATTCATTCACCATTGGTAGTCCAGCTATTACTTCTGGACCTTTTGGAATGCAATGTATATGTTGTGATATTACCTAACACATTATTAACAGTGAAATACAGCTGAAATAAATTAGATTTACATGTACAGAGATAAAATAAATACTTTCTTTTTTACACTTTGTTTCACATCTTTTCATAAGTCAGTTGATAACCACATGTCTTGCATGTTTTTGTCCATTCATCAGTTTCCTCATTATATTCTTCTTCCTCCTCAAATTCATGCTTATGTCTATTAGTATCTTTCTTCCATGTGCTTGTTCTCACTGCTCGGCGAAGTTCTGTTGAGTGGAATGTAAAATAGTTAGTAACTGGTTGGTAAACTTAGAATGATTGTACATTTGAAAGACATGAAGTGGAGCAAACCTTTAACTTTCTTGTCAAATTTTTTTTGTTTTTGTTCTTCCCTCTTCTCTGCTCTACCCTGTCTTGCTTCCTCAAGACCATCCTCTCCTCCCCACACCCCTAATGAGCGTTCAACAATCTGCAATACAGTAGAATTTTAGTACCACCAACAACAAAACCTATCTGATGAGGTTCTTGAAGAGATTAGTTCTGGGTACTAGCTGTATTTCTGAGCAAGTCCTCATTAATAGTGCTATGTTATGAGCATTTCTTTGCCTCTTGGAAAATAACAGGCTTTAAGCAACGTGAGTTGGCAAGAGGTTTGCAAGGGTCCAGCACCTCTCCCCATTAGTGCGAGACCCCCAGCTAACCTCTACCCAACTCATCTCATTCTGTCAGCAGGGCAGAGAAAGGTGCATCCTGTGTTGCAACTACTGAGGGCCTGTTGGCAGGATACATTTTTGACACCATATTTAGCAATATTCAACTAAATTCTGCCCTTGAATAACTTCTATATTTGGTTATATGTCTGAGGTGGTGGCAATTAAGGGGAAATGACCCACCTGTGATTTTAGGTAGAGTTTCATTTCTCCCCTGGAGTGATGTGGATTTTTTTTTAAAATGAATTTCAGAGGTGGTTCTCTCTTGTCCAAGTCACAGTCTTTTAAGAGAAATTGCTGAAAACAGAGTTTCAAACATTAATCACAATTAACCATGAAGTATTTGTAGTACCGGTAGTTTAAAATAAATTTAGTTTAAAATGATTTAAAACCAGTTACATTTAATGAGCTTTCCTTTGTTTAAAATGTAATTTATAAATCTTTAAAATTCAACCTAACTTGATATCATCTCAACTTGAATTCCATTTTAAGTTACAGCATTTAAAGCACTGTAAAGGTAGGTAAAGCCTTCTTACAAGCCAAGTAGCCTATTGGGCTGGCACTTAACCCCAGCTTCTGTTGTATGAAGCAACTAGGAGTATTACTACTTCCCACTGGATAGAATGCTAGTCCATTGCTGGGTTACCCCCAGCATTAAATTTGCTAGTACCAATTTAATTCTCCTGGGTGAAGAGAGGCACTGTGAGAGTAGAGTGTCCTGCCCAAGAACACAACACAATGTCCCCAGCCAGGGCTTGAACCCAGACCACTTGATCCAGAGTCAAGTACACTAACCATGTGGCCACTGTGCCCCCTCACAATTTACAGAACTGACAACTGTCAAATTACATTATTTGTTACTATATATACAAACTTTATTTGAACAGCTCCCTGTCTAGGGCTCTTCCGCCGTCAATGCTAACAACTAATTACATGAATATATCATAATATGCTAAAATTAAAAATTACAGATTTAAAAAATAATTATAAACTTTAGCCTTAAACTTTTTTACATCAGAGGTTTTCTTAATCTCGTTTGGAAGGTTATTATACAGCTTTGCACCCTGAAATGCAAATGATCGTTGCCCTGTTTTTAATCTGCAAATTGGGAGGTCTAATTCACCACTGTATCTAGTGTTTCTGTCGTGAATCTTTGAACACTGAATAAATTTTCCAGTGAGGTAGCTGGGTTTCTGGTCATGAATACACTTATGGACCATTAATAAGTCTTTTGTAAGCAGTCTATCATTCCCATTGAGCCAATTTAGAGATTTCAGGCCTTCCGTGACATGGTCATATTTCTTAAGGCCTAAAATGATTCTACATGCGAAATTTTGTGTGTGTAGATATACGTTTTCAGAAGAAATACTTTAAACATCCTTTTGTTTATTTTGTTGACAATCAAACAGATCCACACCTCCTTAGCTTCTGTCTTTGTTATTAATGAATGTTTTTCATCAGGGTCTCTGCAAATGAGAACAATCAATAAGATATGATTTAAAATGCTACTTGATACTGATGTTGCACGACAGATACTTCAAAGGGATTTTTAAGGAAGTAATTGAAAGTATGAAAAAAGGCTCCACTCACCTACAATTATCACAGACATAAACCTCAAAATGTTTGTAGATGTATGAAGTCAGGAATTCTTTTTGGCATTCAAGGCAATGCAGCTGATCTCCATAGAGAATGGGTGCTGTTTTGATGGGATCAAAATAAACCATACATAACGTATAAACCACAGAAAACACGTTTATGAAATAAAAACCTTAATAGGGTCCTGAGGGATATGAAACTTTCACCCCCCCCCCCCCCCCATCACGTCACCCCTTCACCGCGTGGTTAGTAAGAACCTGTAGTTAAGAGCAAAATACTTCGCTCGAGTAGCACTATTTGGTTTAAAAAAAAAATAGGAGTTCAAAATAAACCAACATTAATTGAAACACGAGAATAGGTATATCTACAACAGAGAACTTGAATACATTACGTAAGGTTTTATGATTCTTCGTCTAGTCTTATTGACTAGCTACTCGCCCCTCGAAAACAAAAAAACTGACCTGGTTCTTTAACAAGATTTTTTCTCTCTCCTTGGCTTTCTTCTTCCTCCGGGTCTAACAAAAACCCACCCCCTGTATCAACAACACGAGATATCGTCGCAGAAACCTCACTGCTACTGTTGACCGTGGATGCATCGCCATCTCGCGATTTCATTTCTGGATAGGGTCGATTGGAAAGCCTTGCATTGCGAAGCATTAACGCTCTTTGCCGATTCCTCTCAATACGAGCCTTTTGTGCGTCTGTTAATTTCCTCTCTGCCATACTGGGATATTTACAACAAATTTTAGCCTGATATTTTAAAGTGAAGATTCACCAGGATCTCGTCATCTTCAATCCCCATACATGACCTACCTACCACTAAGCCACGATAGGCCGCTAACCATAACATACAGCATCGCGGGCGTTTGGGCTAAAGCAAGCAAGGAGGACTTATTCTTTCTTATTTTGCTAAAATTTGGTTCTGTGAATCAGAAGCCATTGCGATGCTTTGATTATGAAAATTTTAGCTATTCGTAGTTGATACTGTGTGCAAATTTTTTTCAAATAACCCGGAGATTCGTCGAACGGAGGTTGAAGGAGTGGACTGAAGATTGAACATGGCGGATCCTGTGAGCAGTTACGACGCAAAACTGCTGAAAAACCTGGGTGGTGTAGGGCTTGTGATGACTATTATCTTCACCATATCGGTATGTTGATCAAAAATGTTTCAGGCAGTGTCCGTCGATCTTTCTTGGCGAAGAAAACTTTTTTCTTGGAAGGTTGAGGGAAACCTTGATCGGCTCATAAGGAACGTACTGTACAGGTCATATTTTGTATTCGAGCCACGGTGAAATTTAAAAGCTATTTTATGATTAATTTCACGCCGCTTATTTCATTTTCTTTGTGTACTAATCGGATTGTGTGTCAATTTCAACGGTGTCTGATTTTCTCTTGTAAACATCAAAATAAGTCAAGGGAACGTTAAGGAAGGCTCTAAGTTGATAAGGCAGAGGGGAGTCTGGGATGATGTTGATACACACCATTGATTACAAATTTTGTTGTTTATTATTGCTGAGTATGTTTACGAGTTGTATTTTGACTCGCCGTATGGGTGAGTCAAAATACAAATAGCGAGTAAAAATACTCAGCAATACTACACAACAAAACATCTAATAAGACATTTAATATCCAACACACCAAATTTTTATTTTAGTGTGGGCGAATTTCGTGGACTTTTCTGGAGTACAAATAATGCATGATATTTGTAGTCATCTGGGCCATTATTTGTACTCTGCGAAGCACAGTTGAATAATAAGGTATTGTATTGGGCTAGCCTGGTCTACAAGAAGGCATGCAGTGTGTGTAATCTTTTTTTTTTTTTTTATTGTAAACTCATATTATTACAGGTTGGACTACTTATTGTCATAATTGTGAAGCGGCAAATACTAAGGATGTTGCTACTTTCAAAAAGAGGACCACATTCCCCTGTTGGGAGTGATGCACCTAAGGTAAGCTACAGTACAGTGATCTAAGTCTTTGAAATGGGTTAATAACTACTCTTAAAAACCAACAAAACACAGGGAAGCATAATGTTTCAAAAGGTTAAGCATGATCAGACCACCTCGTTACTCAAGGAAGACAGGACAGGTAGTCTATAGATGAAATGGAATCTACTTTGGATGTGAGAAAATATGGAGATGAAAGATATTACTTCATTACTAGTGACATTTACATGCAAATATTTGTAAATGGACTGGATTGCAGGCTCAGCTTTGTTATCAGGTGAGGTTTATTAACAAACAAGAATTGAAATTTTTTCTTCAGAGATTAGGAAGAAAGATTACAGCTCATTTACAGAGAATTTCCCAGTTAAGAATGGAACCCAGGATGTTATCAGAACAATTCAACAAACCTGCAGATGGTACATCTAACTTTGATTCTCCTTCAGGTTCGTACTATGAATATTATGTGGATATTTTCTTACAGGCTGTAAGTGCTATTTTTAGTTTTATAAAATTCTACCACCAGTAACCAGCAACCATCAATCTGCATGGGGTCAGTGGACCATAACCCCAGTTTCAGGCCCTCACATAGGTTAAGTGTCTGTCAGACATATTCTTAATCAGAACTTATGAGTACAACTATGTGAAAATTATACACCAGCTTTGTACTGATTAATACTTTCTTGTAAGAACAGAGTAAGTTTGTTTAGGGAATGTTAAGCTTAAACACAAAGGTGCACTATAAAAGGAGCCTTAGGTCCCACTGGACCATTTGTCAATCAACCATTGTGTGATGTAGAACTCTTAGAGTCAAGTCAGCTTGAGCTACAGCTACTCCAAAGCAGTGAACAGCGGGCGCATTCCTCAAAATTGTTTTATGTCTTCATCACAATACAAGAATGTTTTAGATTTGTATTTCCTTTCTCCAATGGAAACTGTCTCTATTTGTGGCAGTAAATTTGATATCAAAGTAGGTGGTTCGCACGTTACCTCATGCCACCATGCTGGTAGAAGTAAACAATAGATATCTCATTAGCTCCTCTTGTTCGTCTACCAGCATTTGAATTTGACCCACACACGTCAACGGTGAGTGACAAATGAGCCTAGGTCTTCCCAGGGAAGACCTCCCTATGTAGCGCGCCTTCGTGTTTAAGGGTGACATGTTGCATCTTCCTTATCAGCCATTTGTTCCTAACAGATCAATACACCAGAAGCTATAAGTACAGAATGAAGGCTATGGACAAGATGACAGAACTAGGTCTGTTACCTGCGTCAATTTTCTTGGTTCGTTTCTTATTAATACCTTGTCACTTCCAGCGTAAAGATAACCAAGCAGCTTTGACTTTCAAAAGAAGTGTTATTTTCTCTCAATACCTTTCTTTACATAGATGACCTTTTATGCACAATTGACTTCAAATACAGCCGTAAAAAGAAGCAGTCAGTCAGAGACCACCTCAAGTCTTTACAGGGGCCTCCGTACAATATAATACGTGGTGGTGATGACACAATTAGAGAAGTTGCAGATATGTATGAACATGCAAGATTTGAAACTAAGGTAGCAAACATTACATTGAATGAATTTTCATTTGGTAAAAAAATAAATCCTAAAGATTGTTAGCTCCAAAGCCAAAAAAAAAAAAAAAAACTAACAAAACAAAACAAAAGGGGGAAGGGGGACAACAAAAAAATTAAACTAAATTAAAACTCTTTCCATATTTCCATTTGAGCTGCCCAATGAGAAATCATGAGTTATTTATATCACGAAGTTTGATGATTAGTGGAAGTATCATCACATGGATCACACTAGATCTACTTACCAGGTAGCAGGACATTAAGTAAAATGTCAATTCCTCTTTCTTTAAGGAATTTGGTGCATTGCAGTACAGAAAGTTTGCCTATCTTGTTGAACAACTGAAGGACAGGTGTGGTATCCTAGATGTAATGAAAAGTACATATCACAATAATGTGCAAGTGCTTTTAACAATGACTAATACCTGCCTGTTTTTTAATTGCACACCCTGGACTGTAAGGATCCCCTCCCTAGAAGTAAAAATTGTGTTTTCTCTCCTTTCTGTCAGTATTCTCTTACTACCGGTAGTCATCTTTTTCACTCATAACTCATACCTCTTCCAAGTAATTTTCTACGGAATTTTGTGTTGGTTATAAATAATGCAAATACAATTAAAATTAGGTAATTTTGGTTTCATCAACTGATTTGGTATTGTGAGTTGGCAACTGTAAAGAGTTTTAAAGCTAAAATAAATGTTAATTTGAAAGAAAGAAATTTAACACTACAAAGTAATACCTAAATTTCTATGAGTTAGGCAAATCCCATCCATATCTACAGTGGTTTTCCATAACATAAATTTTAGTCAAAGTAATAATTATTTTGCATTGAGAAATACAAATGAAAACAAAGAAAGATATGAAATTAAAAAAAAAATTATTAAACCTCTTAAGATTTTTCTTGGTGTTTTGTGCCTAGGGTGAAAGATGAGTACCAGTGTCCCAATGTAGACACACTTGTGTCTCCTTCTGTTTCACAATTTAACAAGAAAGGAAAACCTGCATTTGTCTGATCTTGCAATCAACCTCTCCGTTAGTATATTGTCTTATCAATTCCCCCTTCACATGCAACTTTTACAACTACCTTTTACTGCCTCTGACAGCCATATTACAGCTTCTTCTCACTTGCAGGTGGAGTCATTTTTATCAATATTTTAATATTTTTATAACAATTACAAGTTACTTTCTTGAATGTGCTTACTAAATGTAGAAGTGTTTTTAAACTGTCATGCCAAAAACTCATCAAATTGCCATCTTTATTTCCTAATTTTTCTTTTGCATAACACATAAAATAACACAGCTAGCTAGTTTTTTTTTTTTCCTTCATTTGAAGTTCATAAGATGAACATGGGTTATCCAACCAAGGACATACAGTTAACTCACAAATACCACAAACTAAAATGATAAAGTCATTTAGGAAATAAATTGAAAGTAGATAAAATAATTCTTGACAAAACATCACTCCACATAAATATCACTTTGATGCTAAACCTATAATATTTGTATGTTTGTCATAGTACTTGGCTCAAAAGAAACATTGCTGCCAACTTCAGTAAATAAAATAATACGACTTTGATGAATGTAATTAGTACAATAGATTTATTTAACTTGTCCTTGGTTAAATGTTTCAGGTTTTTCCTTTCTTTCTCTTTCTCTGCTTTTCTATCTGTAAAAGTTATTTCATTCAATGCAACTGTGATGTAAGCTTGTATTTTCATGAATTTTTATAGGGTACGTCTTTATGTAAATGTTCCTGGAAGTCTTATAATTGCTGGAAACAGTAAAAAGCCAATAAGAAAGCCGCCATCAAGCACAAAGATAGAGGAACCAAGTATAGAAGTAAAAACAATACCAGAAACAGAAACTGATCCTGGGAATGTGACACAAAGTGGTGCTGTGAGCATGTAATATTAAGAAATTTGGAAGCCATTTGACTTTTCAGGATTTATATTTGAAGACCTAAGAATCTCATATGCCTGTGTGCTGGAAAGAAAATTTCACCAAATGCTTTTTAGATAACTCTAGTGTATATTTGGAGTATCTTAGAAAGCAAAGGTTGAGGTGTGTACATAATTCAGCTTAAAGCTTGAGATCTTCTTGGAAGAGAGGCCCACAAAAGAATGGTCATGATATCTTTGGGATTCAAAGGATTTTAACCACCATCATCACTGTGGTCATCATCACTATCCATATCAAGGCGCCTTGCATCATATTCTTCAGAGTCACTTTCATCGCCAGAGTGATCCTCCTGAACTGTTTCTCGATATCTTGAACATATGGTTAAGACTTTTAAGGATATTTAACATGTACAAATCATGGTTATCTTGTATTGAACTGAAGCAATCCAAGTAATATTAAGTTCAGCAGTATTCTGTCTATCGAGGCAAGATTAATGCCTTCAAGACCAGGTTAAGAAAGACCAATGCCTTCATTGACCAATTAAAAAAAAGCAAGATGCCTGTCTGTATGTACTCAAGCCCTTGAAATGGTAGAATCTAGGCACAGTCCTCAAACAGTTTCTGCACTTACCGGTACTTCACATCAAGAGTTCATAATAATGCATGTGAAAGGCATTGTGTAAAAAAGCATGTAATAAACGAGATCCCTTTCAAAGAGTGTTTCACATGCTATTCAACTACCAGTACAAGTAGCTTTTTAAGCCTGAATGTGAAAACTTGGATTCACACATGCTTTAACAGTCTTGACTATGATCTGAAAAGGAACACAAACATCCTGTTCTTCAGTATTTTCAACTCAAGCATGCTATGAAGCCTCTGAGTATCCAGACTCTACTTTTTGTTCACATCCTTTTTCACTTCCTAATGATTAATTTGTGTTCATAATTAAAAATAAAAACATTTCTGCCATCAAATATTAACTTGCATAGAAAGAAGCAGTAATAAAGGATACTGGAGAGGATTCAAAACTTGTGATGGGTACTCTGTTTTAACCTCACGGCTTGTTTCTCTTAGCTTCAATGTTGCTTGTTGAGCTTGAAGATCCTACAATCAAGCAAATATTACTGGGTAGTGGCAGAATAATTTTTCATTTCAGAGTTCAGAATATTTTGCAATAAGATTATTAGCTTAAGGCTTCTATTTAATAATTGGATTGTAAGCTAGTGATTTCTGTTGCACCATAGTTGGTGAGGGCTGGGTGTGTAAAACCTTCAAACTAAGACAATGTCACGTTTTTGTGTTTGCGTTTGTGTTTGTTTACAAGCATACTATGTAAGGCGATCTGTCAAGTACAAAATAGAGAGCCAATGACATAGTCAATCAGGTTGCAGTATTTGTGAGAGAACATCAGTAGTTTTGTACTACACAAGCCAAAGTCTAACATTGTGTTACAAACTGTACTTGCACTTGGTTTTTCAACCCTGTTTAAAAAGCCATTGGTTAGTATTTACCTTAGATTAGTTGACTGAAATATTTAATTTGGAAATCTGAATGAAGACATTCTACTATAAAATTGCCATGATACACTCAAGACAAAGTTCAAATGAAACCAGGTTGTCATGAGTGCCAGAAACAGGTGTGCTTGTTTGGGTGATTCTCACCTTTTGTCTTTTCTCTTGTTCTTGGAGAAGTTTAAATGATTCTTCTAATGAAATTGGCTTTGATTTCTGTACAAAAAGAAATTTAAAGTAAAATATCTGCAAATGTTTTGGGAATAGGAAGAGTGCAGTAAAATCCAAATTTTTTGGAACAATTATTTTACATTGCATCATACATAGAAAATCTCTTGGTTTCCTTATCCTTTGTCCTGAGCATTTTTCTAAAATTGAAGTTGTTTTTCTAATACACAAAACAAATTTAGATTGGTTTCATTCAGAGCCTCAATGACACCACTGCCCCTGGGTAATTAGACCATTCCTGATCTTTTCCTTCCCTATCCTTTAGCCTTCCAGTAGACCCTTGTTATGAGCCCTGCCAATCACATTTCTCTGCCTGCAGGAAGATTTAAGATGAATTTGGCAGAGCTTTGCCAGGGGTGTGGCTCATTGTCATTGCTAGACTCCTTGCAGACCTCCTGCCAACTTGTGTTAATTGCTCATACTTTCCCAATAGAACAAAGAAATAGACAGTCTTTGTGTTACCTCTAACTTATAATTTTGGGAAGTTACTGCTGACTCATAATCCCATGTCCCACTTGGAGACTCTGAATCCATTGTTTTCTCATGTTTGTACTTGTTAAGTTTTTGATGTACATCAGCAGTGTCTTGGTGATCTGACTCCACCAACATTTCATCATTATCGTCACTATCGATAGTGCTGTCTACCAAATCAACTCTTGTTCTTTGAACAAGCTGTGACACAGTCAACTTCTCAAACTTTGTAAACGTGTCTTCCAGCTTTTCCTTCTGAACAATCAGCTCCCTAAGTCGATTGACTGTCTCGCTTATCTTTATTCCTTTGTCGGGAAGGCTTTGTAACAACTCCCTGTAAATGCAAGTACGAATAGAAGTTGATCAATGAGCTATTTAGGTCGTCTATCTGTCACCATACATTACAACTTCTAGAAAAACAAATTGAACTGGAAGGCTCACTCACCTGTTAGCAAGAAGCTTTTCTTGTCTTCCTAACATTTCTAACAGCTCCTTTTTCGATAACATACTCCAGTCATTTTTCTCCGCCATGGGTATTAGTGGTAAAAACTACATACAGTAACTACTACACCATATTTCACTGAGTCATCCAACTGGGTAACTGGGTTTATGAATTGTTCATATCTGATTCGTTCTCTGGGAAAAGATGTCTACTTCCGTCCACCATATTGCTTAGGAACCATTCTTATTACTGCTTCCTGACCGCTGGCCTCCTCTCCAGTCTCCCCTGCCGGTTCCCTGAGCGAACAGCAGCAGGTCGGTTGAAAAAATCAAATGCTATGCATTTTGCGCCACCAAAACTTGCCATGTTCGATAACAACGTACAATGGATTGCTTCCAGTTGGATTTTAAAAATAATGTTAGTTTCTTCAGTGACAGGAACCCAAAATGATCACCACAAAGGTATGTGATTGTGAAAATGAATCCAAGAAAACAACTTGTTAGAAAAATGCCTTTGTACTCAATCCATCACAACAACTCATCGAAAAACCATTTAAAAGTTCTCTTTCCTCAATCTTTTTATCGAAAGCCACAACTTTTTTTCAGCAGGCTTTCAGTCTTCTTTCTCTGAAGAATTTAATAGTCTATTTGATTCGTATTTTTCACACAATGTTCAAGGCTGTAAGTTTTCGGTGTACAAAAACAAGAACCTTCAGTTTTTCTCGTCCTTTACAGAGATCTTCGCTCAGAACATCAGATATTACGAGACCATAGATTACAATGCAACTGCTGTACATAAACAACACTCGGAGGTGTTAAATTCCTCGATACATTCTGCCGTCAGCATCAACTTCTGGGCCTTTCAAAGGTATATATCATATATAGTACTTACAATGTAACAGCTTACACTAATTTATAAACTAACTGAAATGCTCACTTTGCAGTCGAAAGAAAATCAATATTTGATTAGTTGTATTCTTGCTCACGGGTGTTACAGCTTAGAATATTTCCATCAACTTTAGTACTCGCTACTCATGAAAAATAAAAGCTTATTTTTGTCTTTGAATTTCCATCCAAAGAAATTTCCAGTTTTCACTTTATCAGCATCGGAGATTATTCACAAAAAGTGTCACGTTTCGAGTCCTGTCGCAGGGCTCAGAGAGTACAAGTGATTACGATTCACGGACGACTTACACAGGAACCGTGAAAGGTAACAATTTAATGCATACTGTTTATCAAGATTCCCTCTATTTTGTGACGTATTTGCAAAAAGTATCATACTTTTTGTTATTGTAAAAATTAAATAGGTTACTGTTAAAACCAAAAATGAAGACCAAAAATTGCTGGGCTGCCAGTTGTCATTATTGCTGTTTCTGTCGGTTTCTATCGGTGTTTCTAAGGTCGATAAAATTAATTATCAAATAACTTGCAATAATTCACATTAAGTATTACATAGTTATAGGGTGTTTTTCGGGCTTGTTTGTTTTCTTCTATTTAGGAGATCCAAATTCCTTTGTCATGGGCCACTTGATAGATGGGCGATTTGACGGAAGTTTCTATACACTCGGCGAAACTTTTCACTCGGAGCCTATTGAACGGTATACTCAATCGAAGACATCTTTTCATTCAATAATCTTCCCCGCCACAAGTGTCAAGTTTAATTTCTCCAAAATTCAAAGGAAAATCGCTCACTTTAATGATCTTCAAAAATTAAAGCACCAGGTAAGATAGATTTATAGATAAGAAAAAATTGCATCGAAATACATTTCGAGAATCAGTTATGCTCATGATTGAGTAATAACCTTTTTTATCCTTAAATTCATTTTATATTAACAGGTTACTAATAAACGAGTTCGTCACAGCAACCCCAGCAGCTCTGATCTCAACTCGTGCACTGTTTACCTTGCCGCAGACCATTTATTCTTTAAAGAAGTCGGTTCAGGTTCTGAAAGCGTCACAGTCGCAGAGATGGTGTATCACGTGGCAATGGCTGATAAGATATTCAGGGGAACAGACTTCAACCAAGATGGCGGGCCTGGAGATGGCGTTGGATTTGTCATAGCGGCTGTCACTGTGTTTAAAGAGGCGCAAGCGGAAGGTAGTAAAAGTACTCAAAAAAATCTACTTTAATGTTCCACACTGCCCCACTCTAATATCCGACTATTAAAACAGTTTCGATCACGTGGCAAGTATTCAAGGGGTCAAAAAAAAAAAAAAAAACTACAGTCCGATTCTTTAAGAACTTCGTAAATTGTCTACAACAGAGCTCTTGCTGCATTTCTTGTCACAAATCCTTCATCTTTTATATGTATTTTAGGAAAAACAATTCATGTTGAAACCATGAAGGAAGTTTGCCGGAGGGAAAGTGATAAAAGTGATAAAACTGGGGGCGGACGGTCTTCCCTTGTCCACTTTTGTTTTTGTTTCAGGCTGGGTAGTCGTCTGAAATCTCTCATTTCCCCTCTATCATTACCACAGGTCCTCATCTTGCACCGGCTCGGCTGATATTAATCTATCTGTGACCGTTTTAGGTTCCTTAGCGAGCCCAGACGATATCAGTATCTTGTCATACCTTACCAAATGGAGCGAGATTGATCATGACGATTACTGCTTAGCCTTACTCTTCACCTATAGAGACTTTCCTAGCGGGGCTCTGGGCCTAGCGTGGATTGCGAGCACTGATCAGATGGACCCTGGAGGTATATGCTCCCCGGAGACTTACTTGGAAGGAAAAGAAGAACCAATGTACTTTAATACAGGAGTAGTAACGCTTTTAAACTACGGAGCTCGAGTACCAAGGAAGGCCACAGTTATCACAGTAGCACACGAATTGGGTCACAGCTTTGGATCCGAGGTAAACAAGAATTAAATTTGTAGGAATTTTCCAGGATGCTTTTGGATTAGTTATGATCCTGAGTAGACCATGTAGATAGGGGCATTTTAACCCCTAGAAGGTTGAGTAATCACCCTGGCAAGGAATTGCATCAGGACAAGGACCTCTCGATCCAGTCTCTCCTCTACCAGCACGTGAGACGTTTGTCACGCTAAGATAAGCGGCTCTATTTTTATTTGAAATACCAGTAAATCTTTATTCCTGGTTTGGTCTTTCTTTTTTCTGTCCGCAGCATGATCCAGCTACGGCCCAGTGCTCCCCAGGAGGACAAGCGGGTAACTTTATCATGTATCCAAAAGCAAGCGACGGACATGAACCCAACAATTACCTGTTCTCCTCTTGTAGCAAGCAGGAGGTGTCCTCTGTTATCTCTGCAAGAGGACCGCTTTGTTTTATTGGTGAGCATTTTAAGTCAAGAAAAACTCATCGTGAGATCAAATTGAAAATTGAAACCTTGAAATGCTTGGATTAAACTTACAGTTCTCTATTCATTTCCTTGCCCAAAAAGCCCTTGAAATACTTTCTTTTGTGATATCTTCTTTTGACACCACCTGCCACTGTGGGGGGAGGGGGGGGACAAAGGATGGAGGGAGGGGAGAAGCAATCTGTGAAGTACTGGCACAAAGTGGTAGTAATGAGTGACAACAACCCATCTTTCGTGATTCACTTGATAAGAGATCGCAATTTGTAACGAATTGGTCGATGCGGAAACCACCGCAGGGGTGAATCCCGGCTTTTTTATTTTCGTGCAACTGGCAGGCCTGATTGAAATCAACTCGTCATATTTTCTTTACCAGCTCATAATAACGGGTCATACTGTGGTAATAAGATAGTAGAAGAATATGAAGATTGTGATTGTGGAAGTCCAGAGGAATGCCTCGTAGTCGACAAGTGTTGTGTGGCGCGAAATGACGCCATGAAAGTACCCGGATGTACGATCCAGCCGGGAAAACAATGCAGGTATGTGTCACGTGTTTACCAGTGTGTCGAATTGCGGATGACGTCATTATGTCGAATCTTTTCGTGTCTCTGCTCCGAACCACGGGTGCAAAAGTCTGAGCAACAGAGGTACGCAGGGAAATTTTCCAAAATTCATTTGAGACGGATCGTAGCAACTCCTTAAGAGCCGAACATGCAAGTCTGAAATACAGATGTGACACTTTCAAAGTAGGTGAAAATTACTCTAACGGAATTTTTCCACGAAAAGAGCTGAGAAGAGCAGAATTCTATCTTCCCAAGTTATGAAACACAGAAAACCGTGAACACCTTGATTTCACGCTGACAGGTTAGTCCTCAAAAGTTCAGTACACGCATACAAAACCACAAAATCGCGATTGTAATTACCATCATTGTCGACGGTTTGGTTTTCTGACGCCTGATTGTCTTTTTAGCTTAAAATACAACAAAATTTCAAAAATTTCTCTGATGTTCACGGATTTTTAGTTTTATGTTAACTGCTGTTTACGTTTCAGTAACGTGGCAGGGAAATGTTGCGCGGAGGATTGTACTTTTATCTCAGCATCTCAAAGACTCGTTTGTCAAGCCGAAACAGAATGCAGTATGGTTTCTATTTGCAAATATCCTTTGATTATATTAGGTTAGATTAAAAAAAATGAGCTTCTCACTCTTATTACAATTGCTCAAAGCTACAAGTCATACTTTAGACAAGGGTAATAAGAGAAAAATACCTCATTCATCATGATTGCTATCCATTCACCAGTGATTATCAACCACCAATTCATCATGATTGCTATCCATTCACCAGTGATTATCAACCACCAATTCATCATGATTGCTATCCATTCACCAGTGATTATCAACCACCAATTTTTGCGCCAAATATTATTGAGCAATCGGCAAGGACAGTTTTTTTTAATGATAGGAGAAGTACGCTCCAGAAACTCAATCATTTTTCATCTCCGCCACTAAGAATATAAAAATGACATCGTGTGCGTTCGAAGATTCATAGCAGTAACATTACTTTTCAAAAACTTTCTAAAGTATCTGCTTACAATTCGAAGGTGGACGCCGCCATTTTGAAACTCACTTGGTAACCTGGCTACTTGGCTTTGACGTAACAAAGTCTCGCTCTTTTAAAGGTACCTTTAAATGGTATAGATCAAAATCAAATTGTTTCTGGAGCATACTTCTCCTTAACCCTTTAGCTCCAACTGAAGGAGCAACTAGCATCCACTGTTTCCTTACGGTAGTGAATCAAACAAAAAAAGGAAAAGAAGCTCTTGATTGTTAAACAAATTCATCTTGTTAGTCTTATGAGAAATGTATAGATAACAGTAAGGAGAAAACAGATATTGATGTCACGGTGTAAAGAGTTATGTTCCTTAACTTATTCTAGCGGTCAGGAGGGGCGTTGTCCTCAAGCTGAGTCAAAACCTAAGAATGTAACATGCAATGCAGGGTTGAACACGTGCCAGGAGGGTGCCTGTATTGGTACAATATGTGCACTATATGGGACCAACGATTGTGAATGCCATCAGAACAGAGAAGAAATGTGCCATGTCTGCTGTAACGGTAGTAATGTAAGTAACAAGGCTGTTATTGATACCGATCCTGCTCTCAGACTTCACACTGGAAATAGTATGAGCAACATTAATATTGCATTTTATTTTTCTGTGTGATTGTTAGGGAGTTTGCATATCAGCTCAGCATTTCCTGGGTCGCGTCATCTTAAAACGTCCCGGCAGCACTTGCAAGCATCACCAAGGTTACTGTGACGAGCATGGTTTGTGCGTCACTGTGGACAGTGAAGATCAACTCAACACTCTCAGGGAGGTTTTTAGAAGATTTTTCACCAAGGAAACTATGGGGAACCTGTGGAGCTGGATGACAAGAGAATGGTAGGCAGTTTGCTCTTTTTTTGGCTTCTTTGGTTTGGCCTCGGACATTTTTGGCTCATTTAAAATTCTAAACGGGGAGATGGCTCTCAGTGCTACGAGAGCGGTAATACCCTCGAAAATCTCTCGCCACTCTTTTGCAAGCTCACATCGCTTACTAGTTCGAAACCCACGGGTATCACCGCACCTGTTCCAAGGCCAATCATAGTTTGCTCGAAGGCTTCTAATATGTCAGTCACTTGTACTCGGTATTCTTGTGTGACACAGAGAAATGGGGGGGGGGAGGGGGACAACCAAGTGAAAATAAGAGAAAATAGAGAACAAAGAGAGGGGCTTAATCAGGTTATTTAACAATTATTCCACGAGCGCGCGTTGGATATGAGATGATAGATAGCCAACTCGGCGCTACGCGCCTCGTTGGCCATAATCATCTCATATCCAACAAGAGCGAGTGGAATAATTGTTTTATTAAAAACGCCCCCAAGAAATAATTATTTTGTAAGAAGAAACCGGATTTTTAAGCTCCCTTTTGATTTTAAGCTGACGCGTACGCTTGCCATATTTGTAGACTATGGTATATTGGCTCATATACCATAATGGCTAAGCCAATGAAAGTCTTGAATTGCATTATCCAATGATCCAGTTTTTAATAATTATGGATAGTCTCTCGATTGAATGTATAAAATTATGTTTTCCGAGACGTCCGCATAGGGCTCAATATACGAGCCGTTTTCTAATAATGGTTTATTAACGACTTTCTACAAGGCAGCTCTACATTCGTCATGAACTAAATATGTAACTGTGTTACTAATAAACAAAAATAATAATAAAAAGGAAAAAATAGATGTCTGTGCAAATAGAAATATACTCAATGTTATATCATAAAAACGATAAATATGTTCATATAGCAAAAATTCAATTGTTGTAAAAAATGATATATAATCATTTATTCTAAACTGGGCCTTCGTTAAGAAGTTTGAAAACTTTCTTTGAAATGGCTTTTAGTCAGTTTCAAGTTTAATATCACAAGGAATACCATTAAATAATTTGGCTGCTGAATCTTGAAATCATTATGTTCCTGTTAAAAGGGGTAGAACAAGTTGCGTGTAGCATTTGAGCGAAGCCTTCTGATGATTTCATGTTTCTGCAGAGACAAGTAACTTGGCCAGTGAACACCGTATATTACTTTATGGGTTGCTCTTAGCAGATGGAATTCATTCCTTTCTTTTTCTGGAAGCCACCCTAGTTTGATTATATCAGTGACATTTGCGTAACGGTTGTTAACAAAACTTGCCGTACACTTTTGTACTCGTTGTAATTTCGTTTGAAGATATTGAGGTAAGGGATACATCACTATATCATTGTAGTCGAGCTTTGATAGTATCAACGATTCAGCTAACTGCTTTTTTAGTGCCGGTGGGCGGCAGATATTTTATTTTCTTGATAATGGATAAGGCTGCCTGAAAACACGAAGACAAGGTTTTTGTTGTGATCTGTCCACTTTAAGTTTTCTTGTATCCACATACCGAGAAATTTGAAGGATTGCACTCTTTCAAGAACTTCACCACTGGCTTTAATCTCGGGTTTTGGTTATCCAGCTTGTGTTGTCTTGACATCTGATTTGTGGTGATAATCATTTGCTTGGTCTTTTTCCCATTCAACGATAAGTTTAAATTACTTGACCAGTCTTTTAAGGTACGCATTGTGTCGTTTAACTCCGCGGTAGTTCCGTCAAGTTTTGAGGGGACGCAGTGGGTAATAAGTGTCGCATCATCGGCGCACTGAAATGCGGTGTAATCATGAACTTCATCAAGATCGTTTACGTATAAATTGAACAATGCTTGGCCCAAGATGGATCCTGTGGTGCTCCGAATTTGGTATCAATGAGTTCAGATGTTTTGTCATTGACTTGTACGAACTGTCGTCTACCATTAACGTAACTCAAAACCCACTGAAGGAAGTGGTTAGAGAACTTTATTTTGTGCAAATTTCCTAAGATCTTGAGATGATCGACCGTGTCGAACACCGTTGAAAAATCTGCATGTATAGCCATTGTCAGCTCGCCCTTCTTCATCGCTCGGATGATGTCGTCTCTGAAACGCATTAATATTGAGGTGGTAGAATGTCCTTTCCTATAGCCAGAGGTTTTCTCATCGAGTATATTGTGTTTATCGATGTGTTCTGTCATTTGGTTGAGCCGGAGCGCGCAACGTCCATACACTTTGGAAAGCACAGCTATGCAAAAAGGAAATCGCAAGGCAGCGCAAAACATGACTATTTTGATTTGTAATTTAAAAAATGCGAGGAAAGGAAGTTACTCGTGGAGCAGCTGGCGGCAATTCAGCAAAACAGCTCCATGTTTATGCCAGAATTTTGAATTTCCACTTATAATCGCACTAGAAAATTATTTTGTCGGTTAAGATATATTTAGATTGCGGTCCTTTGGTATTCAAAAACTAAAGACAAGTTCTTATCCACACTTTTTTTTAAACCAGTCTTATAACCATTTGCTCACTTACCAACTTGTATGTTGACAGCACGTGTTTTCACCTTCAAGAGGGCGAAAGTCCCTCGCCAGTCACACCTACTTCCACCGGACTTGCGGAAAATGTTTCTCCCAATGGGTGTGAATTATTCGTCGACGCATTTTCGGCGGAGGTGCAGCCGGTCCCTGAGGTCAAGATACTAAAGTAGTAATAAAATATAAAAAAGATAAAATAAAATATAAAAAAGATGACAAATCTGAAACATTTGTGGGTAGTGCTCAACCACAGAGAGTTCCCATCTCAACAAGGAACGAATTGGTCATGTTTTTTGTAGAAGCAAAGCATACGACACTCTCGAGCGAAGTTGAATTTTCGAGTTTATCACTGGAAAGGCGACTAATCCCAGCTGATGAAAGAAAACGCACGAAACGCGACAATTTCATGCGAATGCCAAGTCGATTTCTACAGAGTAAACAAAGTTTTACCTAAAAACCTTGTGTGGAAAAAAGGCTGAAATATTCAAGGATGGAATACAAGGACGACTCTAAGGATATTATATATACAAGGCTAATGGGTGATGATGGAAAACAGCCGAAAACGTTTGGTTTAACCATTTTAATAATTTTTCTTAATATTTTAGCCTTGTATATATAAATATATCTTATTAACCAACCGCGAGGGCCGGGCCGTACTGGGAGAATATCGGCCCGAGGCCTTGACAGTACGGACCGAGCGCAGCGAGGTCCGTACAAAAAAGACCGAGGGCCGATATTCTTCCAGTACGGTCCCGAGCAAGCTTGGTTAATAAGAGATTTATTATACGACTGAAGTTCAAAGGGACACAAGTGCGGTATCATTCGGGACCATTCGGGACAGTGCCCGGTCCAATACTGAGAGAATATTGACCGGCAATAGAGCATTTTGATTGGTTGATTTTAGTTATTGGCCCTCTGACTGCCCGAGTCGTGTAATAA